AAACAAACAAACAAACAAACAACAGAATCAATTTAAAAAAGTTGCATTCAAATACTTTTTTTCTTTGAATGAAAAGTTTTTTTTTCATTGCAGTGAAAAAATTTTTTTATTGAAAATTTTGATTGAAGCAACCTTTTTTTATTGAATAATAAAGAAACAAATCTACCTTCATAAGAATTGCCTGCTGCTTTATCTTTGATGCTTGTCCACATCAAGTAAAGTGAGTTGAAATTCATCTGATCCTAGTGCTGCTCTTGTGTTCAGTGGCAGAGAGGGACTTTTAAGGATATATTTACCACGATAAGTTGGTAAAAAAAAGTTTTCATCAGGCCTTTAGCTAGCAATGCGTACGGGTGTAAATTGTATGCCCTTTACTAAAATAATGACAAATTATATGCCCTGTTTTTTGGAATGTACTGCTTTGGTACGCCCTAATTTTTCCCCGGGAAACTTTGCTCAAATTTTCAAAATCTCACAAGCAGCAGAAGCTGGAGTTAGAAAAATGTATTATTTGATGCTTGACGGGACACATCAACCAATCAGAGAAGCTGATTGGTCTGGAAGCTGGTAGGGAGACAGGCACAGCTCTGCTCATGCAGAGTGCCAAGATCAATCCACCCAAAAAGTTTATTAACCCCTAAATTAAATTATAATAAAAAAAAACCTGCAGGCAAAATATGTTTACTTTTATTATCTTGGTGCTTCCTGTTTGTACCACATATCTGCTTCATATATCTATCTATCTATCTATCTATCTATCTATCTATCTATCTATCTATATATATATATATATATATATATATTTTTTTTTTAGCATTTTTCAGGTACGTGGTACAAACTGCTGCCACCAGTATAATAAAAGTGATTATATTTTGTATGCAAAAGTTCAGATTTTCCAACTCCAGCAAGTTGCTTTGAAGCACTGCAGGCGCCTCATATGGTCATCAGGCGCTGCTCATGCTGCTTGAAATGTGCTGCAAGACCTTCTGATGGCTTGATAGGCTTTGCATGTAAACCGGCTGCTTCTGCTGCTCAAATGGTTCTGTTTGAAAGTAGAATGAATCACTAAATATTACCTTGACGGTCTTCTTGGCATACTTATCCAATGCGGCTCCTTGGCTCTTGAAGATGGCCACATTGGCCTTTAGCAGGTCCTTCCTCTCCATGCCCTCCTTCCTGGGCATGGAGCCCACCAGGATGGCCACATCAAGGTCTTTGAAGGCCACCTCCTCCTTGTCAGTGGGCACAACGTCTGTGAAAGGAGAAATAAATCGGCTATTGTTTTATGTTCTGTGTGGCTTCAATGTTTTATTTTTGTGTTTTTCTTCTTTTACAATAAAAGCCAAAAAAAGAGATTGCCAAGTCATCTGTTCCTGCTTTTAATTTAAAAATATGCATATATAAATAATAGGCCACAATTGAAGCAATTTGGGAATTACAAACGAAAAATCCCTCAGTACTAGATAAGCCTTAATTGACTCTACGTTTCTGATACAGACCCAGAACTGTATCAGTCCGTCCCTGTTGGGTCCTAAAGAGCTGCCTTTGCGTGTGCAGCTGCATAATACTGGGGCCTCTCAGTCCCTGTCCAAACAAGGCAACAGACAGGACCATTTAACAATGGATTTGGCTCATGAAAGCCCCTCGCCACCCATCCCATGTCGGCGGGTTACTATGGCGACACCTAATATACTTCAAAATCTAAATGTCTCCCAAGTACTCAGGAGCAGATAGCTGCCATAATTAGCAGGTTTAGTAAAACGACCAATAAACTTAGTATAATAAATTATTCACTAAACTTTTCTCTCCAATTTAAATATTTCCTTACAGTTTATTTATGTCAACTTTACAAAGGAAGAAAAATAGGCTGGTATCTCTTGATATCAGGCTAAAAAAGCATAATCAGGGAACCTTACAGGAAAGCTGAAAGTCACTCCCTTTAATAACGTGAAGTTTACACAACAGAACCTGACTTGAACAACTCTCCACCTAATTGCAGCATGCTCATCATTTGGCTACGTCGCATACTCTACTCTACTGTAAGTTTTAGTGATGTTTTTTACTGAACATGCCCGAGTTTGTACCCAACCTGGCCTCTTTTCTTCCCCACTTTGATGAGAGAGGATTTTAAATAAATCATCTTTAGAAATATAAACAAACTACTCATGATTTACTTTCTAAGCCTCTTTAGGCGTGTAAAATTAAAGACCTAAACAGGAAGCAGGACTAAAGCACAGGGAAATAGAATAGTAATAATAATCATTCATAGGTCAGACCACAATATCAATAGTGGAACTGAAAACTGCTGCATGGATTTCTGCCATAAACTGGTCTTTTACATATTTTAGGGCAGTTTCTAAATTTATTCTATCTTATCAATTTTATTATTATTTCTTTTATCCTAAAATTTAAATATTTACCTCTCAGAAGTGGAAGGGCACAGTCCTGAAGCTCCATGACTACCCCCTCTAAGACTGGCAGCATAGGAGTTATGTCCAAAAGGAGCAAGATGATTGGCTGGTAAATGAAATGGGACATATTTGATATTAGATTAAACATAACAAAACATATTTGGTTAAATGGTTTGTGTCTAATCATTAAGTGTAATGTAAGGGACTTGTTTCAGACACGTAAGCTGTAAGACAAAGATGTGTGCCAAACGGATCAAGTGGTTTTAAAGATGGACTAAGACTCTTGGCCGAAGATCCTCCTCACTGACTTCAAGGACAATCCTCTTTCATCAGAGGCCACATGAGTGAGCGAGTGGAACCTGTTCAACTCCAACATAGCTGACATCTGTTCCGTTCCACCCATTTCAAAATATGGCATTCTCTGCATTCACAGCGGGCCCTTTGCACCTGTCAATATCCTTCATAGTGTGACGCTACCTTTACACCACCTAATGTAATAATGGTTTTAAATGGGTTGTTAGGGGGAGATAAGGTCCATCTTTACCTGATCTTTGCCAAAAACATCTCCCTTGGCGATGCTCAGCAATAGAGAATACGCAATCTGGCCAGCGGCGCCTGTCACCAGGACTCTGATAGCCTCAGCCTTAAAAATACAAACAGAGCAAAAATATTAGTATGAATCATCATGCTTTTTTTTTTTTTAAAAACCTTTTTTTTTTTTTTTTTTTTTTTAAACAAAAATAGGGAGGGGGCTTTTTTTTTTTTTTTTTTTCCAAGCTGGATTAACAAGAGCAGGGGGCCAGTATATAAATAGACCCTCTGGCCTCCATTACCCACTGTTACATAAAAAATAGGATATATTTAGGATTGTTCACATGTCAACCACTCACTTCATTCATTACCTTAAAATAAACCCACCCACAAAAAAAATAATAATAATTTCAATGAGAAATAAATAACTACTAACTACATTTTTACTAAGTTATTCAAAGTTAAGCATGATTTACAACCAACTACAAGAAGAAAACATGATTCACTCTTCTTGAAAATACATATTTAAAGTTAAATAGTTTCTTACTAAAGCATATTCTGTTTTATCTCCTGCTACTCACCATTTTATCAGGACAAGTCGAACTGAGCTCCACTTCTGAACGAAGCCTGAAGTCACACCTATTTAAAGCCTAACTTCGTTACGACACTTCTCGCGTTATACGGCAAGACAGAGCATGTCGGGAGTTGAAGTTTAGCATCGGGAATGTGAACCCTTGTCTGAAAAGGAACTAACTAATCTCAATAAAAAGCTTCATTGGATATTAATGAAATTATTGTCATGTGTTAATCTATTTGAGTCACTACATAAATCCCGTGTACTGAGTCAAACAACTGCTATTATTTGAATAATAAATGAATTAGCTGGTTAGCCTCATAAGAGTAGCTTGTGGTTGCTAAGCGACGTGTAGCGTTTGCAGCAGCTAGCTGGAAAACTTAGCCGCTTGACAGAAAGATACACAGGAAAAACGACTCGGGGAGCTGCAATAAGAACAACATTGACTTAAAAATACATTACCCGCTTAAGATAAAGCCGTTACAGCTCTAGCATTAGCCGGCCGGCTGTAAAGTGAGAATAAGTGTCGCTCAGATCCTCAGCAAACTTGCAACCCGTGAAGATGAGAAGTATGTGCTAACTAAAGAATACAAAGGATATAGCAAAGGTAAGGTTTTGACTAAAACTAAGTTCTTCTGTCCTTTTCTATGCATGTGTGTGTTATTGCTGTTAAAACTGACTTATAATTTGAGAATGATAATAATAAACATACCATAATTTGGGATTATTCTTCATTAGTGACATGAAATCCCATTGGAACATATAATAAAACTTAGATATATTAACTTTTAATCAAAATATTTTAAGATAGTATTTGTATTAGTCAAAACAGTATTCTAAAAAATCAATAGAAAAAATATAAATCTATGCAAAACCATTTTCTGGGATTCCTAAAATGACTTGCAAATATAATGTTACATGTTTTAGGTGCATTACAAAATGTTTAGAGAATTAAAACAAAGCTAAAACATTGTCCCAAAAGACAATATGATTGGATATGTAAACTGTTATGGATACACTTAATGCACAACTTACCAGCATTTCACTGGCAGCATTTCCTGGTTAAAAATGTCTCCTCATGTTTTCTATTGTCTAATTTACCAACTTCCTGCTTTGTTTATTCATCAAATATGGTGTGTGATGTAATCAAACTGAAAAAAACCTATCTGTTCTATTTTACTTTTGGGAAGCAAAATTCATAATAAGATTTATATTGTTATTTATATGTTTTCGTTATTAACAAATTGGAGATGGGAATTCTGTGTGAGACCCCAAAGAAAGTGTACCGCACAAAGTCATTAGTCAGTTATTTGTATAATTCATATTAGGGATATCACAAGAACATTTACTTACTAATTTCAATCTGTTTGCTTTTTTTTTTCTAAGTCCTAGTTGTTCTCAGTACAGAGTCATCTTATTCATATTAAAAATCACAAAGTTTTATTATCCTGTTTTCAGAGGTGTCAAGTAACGAAGTACAAATACTTCATTACTGTACTTAAGTACACTTTTTAGGTATCTATACTTTCGACATTACTTATTTTTCTTCCTACTTCTGACTTCTACTCATTACATTTTCACACAAGTATCTTTACTTTCTATTCCTTTATTTTTAAAACAAACGTTACTCGTTACTCTTGGCTTCGGTTTAATGTTTATAAATATTTATTTCATGTCATGTGCGCCATCCAATGCAGATCATTGGAGCAATCCACATCCAGTGAAAACTAGTGTGATTGGATGTGTCATATAATGCAAACACTCATTGGTTAGCTAAAGGAAATCATCAGAAGCAAGCAGGTGTTCTTCAAACTGCAAACGTAAATTGTCTATGCCATGCTACAATGTAGGATTCAGTAAAAGATGTGGAAATGTCTAAAAGGTCGGACACAGGTGAGAGCGTATCGGGAGATGGAGACAGAGACCAACAAGAGGTTTTTAGTAAAGGTTACTTTATACTTTTATACTTTAAGTAGTTTTTGGAGTACATACTTTTTCACTTTTAGTATATTAAAGAGGTCAAGTTGATTCTTCAACTTTTACCAGAGTGTTTTAAAACTGCAGTATCTATACTTCTACTTAAATAACAAATGTGTGTATTTTTGACACCAGTGATTGTGGTTGAGTTGTGGTAATAAGTATGATCGGTTATTAAGAAAGGATTCGTGGTTGAAAACTTGCATTCAATATGACCCTGTAGTCACTGTGGCTGGCCGTTTTCTTCCTTTTCAAAAGGAAAATTTCAGACATCTTTAATAACATTCTTCCTATCTAAAATAGATAGGAATATATCTTAAATGTGGTTCTTACTAGAACAGAGGACATCAGGTTTTCCATTTATCATATTGAGATTTTACTTCCAGATATCTAAGATAATATTCTTCTGATTCTGGATATCTAAAACTGAATTCTGATGAGGATAAACTCTAATTTCAGATCTTCATAATCCAGTTAATACTAGTCATAATCACCAGTTCAGATATCAAGAATCAATAAAGCATTCTAGACATCTAGATATCAAATTATTGACATAATAAATACATTTATACCAGTAGAAATGTCATTACAGAGATCAACTACAAATTATATAAAAAGTTAAATTGGATTTCCTGATAACTGAAATTTAATGTCTATCCAAAATGCAGTTTTATATACCTACAAACACATTTTGACTGTCAACAACATAATGGGGCTACATAAAGTGGACTNTACAGAGATCAACTACAAATTATATAAAAAGTTAAATTGGATTTCCTGATAACTGAAATTTAATGTCTATCCAAAATGCAATTTTATATACCTACAAACACATTTTGACTGTCAACAACATAATGGGGCTACATAAAGTGGACTAGTCATATTAGTATTATAGATAGAACTAAGGCATTTTACCTAGTCACATTTACAATATTCCTACTTAGAATTGCAATATACAGGGAGAAAAATAGGTATTTGAACACCCTGCTATTTTGCAAGTTCTCCCACTTAGAAAACATGCAGGGGTCTGAAATTGTCGTTGTCAGTTCATGTCCACTGTGAGAGATATAATAATAATAAAAAAAAACAGAAATCACAACAAAAGATTTTTTTAAAATAATTAAAAAATATTTATTTGTATCAATCAGCTGCAAATACTGTAAGTATTTGAACAGCTGAGAAAAACAATGTTAATATTTGGTAGAGTAGCATTTGTAGGTCAAATGTTTCCTGTAGTTTTTCTCCAGGTTTGCCCACTCTGCAGGAGGAATTTTGGCCCACTCCTCAACACAGATCTTCTGGAGATAAGTCAGGTCTCTGTGCTGTTGCTAAGAAAGTAGTTTGAGCTCCTCCCATGTAGTTCTGGGCTGATTTCTCACCTTTCTTAGGACCATTGAGACCCCACCAGGTGCGATCTTGCATCAAGTCCCAGTCCGAGGGGAAATTTAGCTTCTTCCATTTTTAGCGATTGCTCCAACAGTGGACCTTATTTCACCAAGCTGCTTGGCATTTTCCTCGTAGCCCTTTCCAGCCTTGTGGAGGTGTACAGTTTAGTCTCTAGTGTCTTTGGAGAGCTCTTTGGTCTCGGCCATGTTAGTAGTTGGATTCCTACTGATTGTATGGGGTGGAGAGGTGTCTTTATGAGGCTAACAACCTCAAACAGGTGCATCTAATTTAGGATAATAAGTGGACTTGGACATTTTGAAGGCAGACTAACAGGTCTTTGAGGGTCAGAATTCTAGCTGATAGATGGGTGTTCAAAAACTTATTTGCATTTGTATCATACAAAAAGGGGGGAGGGGTGACTCAGTGGTTAGGGTATTGTGCTTGGGTTCCAGAGGTTCTGAGTTCAAGTCCCACTCCCACAAACTGCCACTCTGGGTCCCTGAGCAAGACCCTTAACCCCCACACTGCTCCCCGGGCGCCGCAAAATGGCAGCCCACTGCACCCCAAGGGGATGGGTGAAATGCAGAGGTAAATTTCTCCAATGTGAGATCAATAAAGTTCAATTATTATTAAATAAATTGTTAAAACATCCTATATTGTGATTTCTGGATTTTTAATTTTTTTTATATTTGTCCCTCACAGAGGAGATACACCTGCAATAACAATTTCAGACCCCTCCATGATTTCGAAGTGGGAGAACTTGCAAAATAGCAGGGTGTACAAATACTTATTTTCCTCACTATGTATATTTATATAATAGATAACTTTTTCATGCAGATTAAATATTCCATAAAATCAGCGTTTGTTGTTTTTGTTTTTTTTGTGACGGGGACTTTTGAACCAATCAGTGGTTGCTGTGAACGTGATTTGACCCTTCAGACTGCAGTGTTTGTTGTTCCCTCAGTCAGGGGGACATGAGGGGATTAGGAACACCTTGTCTTTGTGAAGAACAGGGAATGGGAATGAAACAAGAAACAGCAGCGGGCGCTCGATAATATCTGGTGCCAGTTTGCTCCCTGGCTTGATCCTCTGTGTTAGTCAGGGCGTGTGAGCCTGAAAACAATCGCTTTGTGGGTGGGTTTATTTTTTATATATTTTTTTTTTGTAGAGCACAGGTAAAGAGAGGTAAGAGTTCGCACATATCTAAAGTGCAGCGATGTAAAATGCACACACTGCTTTCTCACTCCTGCTTTGAGCTGCAAATGTCCTTAGGAGAGTTCTTACAGTATGTCTCTCATCCACTCCATCTCCTCCTTTCCTTGTTCATCACTTTCAGCTCTATCTCCTCTCTTCCACTTTATCTCCTCCTGTTCGACCCCTCCGCCCGTCCCCACAGAGTGCACCTGAGTGACCCCGTTCCGTCAGCGCTGGGAGGCAGATAGGCAGCGCGTCCACCGGCCTCCCCCTGGTATCACCCCCTCTTATCTGCCTTCACTAGACCAAATAGCCCCTTACAGACTCTCAGCGCACACAATGAGATTGTAGGTTCCATTCAAACACGAAAGCACACGCAAAAAAAGACGCAAGCCCAGCAGATAATTACATTACCCCCACTGTTATCTCTCATCCAGTTCAGCCTCTCTATTCTTCTCATTCCACTTTATTTACTTTGTGGACTCAAGCATCGTGTCCCTCCCTTAGATGAGCTGATGAAGCTTTAGATCAGATGGAACAGATTATTTCTTTTTACTTTTTATTTTTCTCTAATGTTATCTTTGTCACACCCAGTATGACCATAAGCCTACATGAACCTGTCCTTGTATTTATAAACACTTGCAGTAAAGATCTTCTTTCACTAGGAGTCACTATGCGACCAGTTTTAAGCAGTTCTAATCACATTGTTTGGAAAAGGGTGTTTTTTTTTCTGTGCACTTGTTGCCACAGCAGAGGCTCCGTCTTTGAGAAAGGGATTAAAAGTAGACACTTGTTGGTTCAAAGCCTTATCCTGAAATTTGATAACTTTGGAAAAGCAAATGATTTTAAACACCTGGAAGCTTTGTTTTTTGAAAAATATGACTGGTTTGGTCGATACGAATAGGAATCTTGAAAGGTATAGATAGGCATGAGGTCATGCAGGGAAAAAAAGACAAAAACTTTGGCGCATGTATTTTCACACCACTTTTTCTGCCTTTTTGTTAGGCTTTAATATATAGACACAAGGAGTGCACAGCTCAAATGTAAAGA